CTGTGGAAGCAGACAGATGGCACTGCAGGTCATCGACTGGCTGTGCATTCACGATGCATGGCTCAAGTGCACAAGAGTCGTCCTGCGGTGAGCGGAAACAAGCGACAGCTTCTGATGCAGACATGCTTCATGTTTCATCCTATGGATTTCTCAGTCTTAGGACTTGACATTCAGGCGGTACGCCTTTCCTGTACCATCATGTTACTTAGTGGCTTTGTGCTGCTGAGTTGTGTTGCCCTCCGATCAACATGGCAGCGGAGCCCTGGCTTTGCTAGCTCAGGGGCTGCATCTTCGATCCAGGGCGGAGCGAGGCAACACACGTCAACATCGCGCGACATGATCATGGAGAACAAGATCGATGACTCCAAACTAGTTCCGTCCTTCGATGGCAAGTTAGATCAGTACAGGGACTACAGGAAGAGAGCACTCCTGTACTTCAACAGCCTCGAGGACGCGAAGCAAAACCTTGCTGGGCCCAGGCTTATCTCGAACCTTTCAGGCCCTGCCTTTGAATGCTTCCGAGAACGCGACCCAGCAGACTTTCGCAACCCTCGAGGAGTTCTACAACTCCTTGCTATCCTCGACGACAGATTCCAGTTCAGTCCAGAACAAGATCTATCCGACCGCTTAGAAGAACTTTTCTTTCGACTTCGGCGGCGACGTGGAGAGGAGACCACGTCGTTCTCGACGAGGTTCGAAACCTTGATGGCGAAGACCGAAGCACTTATAACAGAAGAACAGCGAGCCGAAAGAAAGAAACAGCAGGACCTTCAGAGGGCAGAGTACCGACGGCAATCCTTGGACTTCATTGTTGCCAGGCAGGAGTACGAAGCGCTACTCACCACCCTGGCGGATGGAGCTGACCGACCAGAAGCCCCTCGTCCACCAGTACCTCCACAGGAGATGCCAACGGTCCAACCCTTCAGCTTCCCTGAGACCATGAAGGGATTCTTGTTCCTGCGGCACATCGGTATCAGTCTTCAGACACGGTCTTCGCTATTGCGGTCTTCAGGGGGTTCACTTCGCTACGACAGGGTGTCGGACTTACTTCGCCGGACGGAGCTTGATGCTTTAGTAGCTGCCCGTGCTCAGCCTCAAGGCCAGGGACATGGCTTCATGGCCGACGCGGCCACTGAGGACAACGATGACGATGACGATTGGCCTGCGGAGGACGAGGTTGAGTATGATGATTTCGGCGGCTATGTCGAGGAAGAGGAGTCAGAAGAGAGCTTCGAGGACGAGCAAGAGGACGGAGCCGTGGACGATGAGTACGACGCAGCAATGGTGGGTTACCTGGAGGCCCGGCGCAAGTTCATGGATCTTCGACGCGCCAGGGGCTTCCAGGAACCGGAGCAGTCGTCCTCAACGGCCAAGGGCGCGTCCAAACATCGGGATCGCGATCGCCGTGATGATCGCAGAGAGGGGCGAGGTAAGCCAACTGGTCCGAGCAGAAGGCCAGATTTCTCTTGGCGCGAGCGTGATCGGCGCAAGCCTGGACAACAGCAGCGAGGCCGGCGACCTGGGACGCCTCCTCCTACCAGAAAGAAGGGAACCGGTAAGACCAAGAACAGGGGCAAGGGTTCTCGAGCTGGTAGTAGCAGTCGCCGTGGGGAGCCGGCCGGCGCGCAGTACCTGGGCATGGCCGTGAATGCCGCGACAACTTCATCTATGACGGCCTCACCGCATGATTTTGTGCCCGAGTTTTCCTTTGCGGCCTTTCCAGTCTCAGTGCCGCCACCTCCGGGACTTGACGCATCGTCCACTTCCTCGACTGGGGCCAGGCAGTGCGGCTTTGTTTCTCGCTTTGCACTATCTTCAGTTGAGCAGTTTGCCGAGGAGTGCCTAGAACTAGATCGGTCTTTAGGCCTCGTATGTCCAGAGCAAGGCGAGGAACAGGCATGTTGCTTGGTAACACCTCCGGGCTATGCCATTTTAGATACCGGTTGTACTTCAACCTTGGTGGGCTCTGAAAACGAACGTTTGTGGAGAGCAGAGCTTGAGAAGAGGACCCGGGGAGGGCTACAGCCGGAGTTGAGCCAATCCGATGTGAGGTTTGAGGGAATTAATGGCGAGACTCGGGCATCGTATCAAGTGAGGTACCCCGTTCGGATAGGACACAGAGATGGGTATGTGAAGGCTGCAGTCATCCCGGGTCGTGCACCATTCCTTCTATCCATACAGGCCCTAAGGGCCATGGGTGCGAAACTTGACTGTGCAGCAGACACGCTGACTGTACCAGGAATGGGAGAGGTGAAGTTGAAGCTTAATTCTGTAGGTCACTACATGATTCCACTCCTCGACTTCCCTGGCGAACAGTCTCCAAGTGACCGCGTTCCCAACGATCACGCCCTTGCCTCAGCCGAGGCGGGCTTTGGTCCGGAGAGCGAGCTTGTGGTTAATACACCTCTCCCGAGGCCTGAAGGGGTTGATGAGCCACCTGGTTTGGAGGTTGAGCCACCTGGTCTGAAGGTTGAGCTGAGGGACAATGCAAGTTCTCCGGACCAGAGCGCCAGCGTAGAACACACTGTACCCAAGTACCAGTCGGTAGCTACCAGGGCAGATAAGTATGCCATAGGAGCATTCCTGAGGCTTGCTCGGGAGACTAAGGGACCCTGGGTAGCACTGCCACGGGAGCTACCGACAGTACACCTAATCCTGGGCAAGCATGGTTTTGATGTGCCAAATCGTCAGGCCTGGAGAGTCCGAGCAGCGCAGATCGGTTACAGGGCCAAGGTCATCCGTCGACCTCCGCCGCAACTGAAGGGTGGCTGGGTCACAGTTTTGTCTCTGGATGACCAGAGCTTGAAAGTAGCCGTAGAATGGACACGCTGTGAGGATTGTGTTGGCCAACAGTTGCCTGACCAGAAGGGTGATTTTATAAGATGGCTTTTTGTGTTTGCGCTGCCTCCGGTGACTCCTGAGCTGACGAATGCACCAACACACGCATCCCAATCACTGCATGCCGCGAAGTATTCACTAGTTCCCACAAGCTCGGATGCAGTGTACACGGCTGTTCATGTAGGTGGAAGTGAGACTTGCGCGAAGGCACCTCTTGCACCTGGGCAGTGTGATGATGCGTGTGAGCAGCCTGAAGATTTCTTTAGTTGTGACTCTGATTCGTCCGCCCTTGACGCACAGCACACCGACAATCATGCCGTGCAAATGCCTCAGCGGGCCGGATTCCGAGCAGATGCCACAGTACGCTCATTGCGGCTCCCACTTCATCGAATCATTCGGCAATGCCACGGGGACAACGTGGCACTGCACAGTGTGTCGAGCCAAGTGCCGAGAGTGCAAGGGCAGAGTGGCACGTTGGATCAAGAGCACCAACAAGATCGAGTACAGCCATCGGAAGGATTGCGCTGCAACTCCAGTGCCGGGACCTTCCGGAATTACGTTGTTAGCAGACGGCGACTTGGTCCGAGTGAGCGACGCAGATGCTACCATCGACAAGCATGGGAAGGTGCCGTATCCCTTCAACGTGCGGCAGGTAGCACTCTTCACAGAGAAACTGCAGGCGCTGAAGGAAGCGGAGAATGGGCGAACCGACATTCCCCCGGGACCGTTTTCTTTGACATCACAGAAGGAGACGAAACCGGAGATCAAGGAGATCAAGGGGACGGTTTCTGCCGGGAGGATGACGGTTGGCACCGCTGGCATGGCAGCGTCCTCGGAGGGTTCGAGGGGATATCCGACGGTTCAGCATCGTCCGCAGATCGAGCCACACACCCTCGACGACGTGACCAAGGTGCAACAAACTGTCCGGGACATGTTGGCCAGGGAGTATCAGACATTCCCAACATCGACAGCAACGGACGTTCCGATGGCTGCAACAAAGTCTATCCCGGATCAAGTCAAGGATCTGGAGGAACAGGCCGCGGCACTCATCGCTCAGGCAGCGCATCTTCGCCAACAGCACGGTCTTGCAGCCTGCAGCCTCTTCCCACCAACATCTCGGCATCCACAGGTGCCCGATCAGCGCAATCACTCCGGAGTGGTTCGGTACGATCCAGATGTGGACGGCTCCTGGGAACGATTGCAGTTGCGTTAGCTGCCTCGTCGATCTCTGACGCGGCACCGCCGGATGTCTTTCAGGAAGGGCAAGGAGCCTGTGAGAGTAGCTTGATGGGTAAAGCCTCAGAGCGGGGGGCATCTAAGTGGCCCCGGCTATCACCAGAGGTTTCAGTAGGGCCATTTCCTTCAACTCCCCAAGGATTCTCCTTGCCACAGGCCTGGAAGGCGGCGCCACTTGATTTCAATCGCAAGGCTACCCGATCCGAACTCCGATCATGGTTGGGTCCTCAGGCTTGGAAGTTAGCCTTAAAAGTGGATTTAGTGGAAGTTTATGCTAGCCGTGCACGTTTGAGTGATGAGTGCGAGGCCCAAGGAGGGATCGCTATTCGGTTGGGTCATGCTTGGGGGCAAGAGTTGCATAGCAAGGAGGCCCAATGGCTATTCCAATCTCTCCTGTTCCGCTGTACTCCGACTGACGTATATGTATCGCTTCCCTGCAGGGCACGTCATAGCATACAGCGTTCTGGCGATCTAGAGTCACGCCAGCGGGCACTCCGTGAGAGGTTGGATGACCGAGCTGACCTCCAGCTTTTGTTCGATGCCATTGAGTATCAGGAATCACGTGGTAGACATGTCACTGCTGAAAGCTCTCCCGATTCGTTAGCTTGGCGGGATGCTAGGTTTGGGAAGGTAACCTGTAAGCATTATTACACCACGTTCCACCAATGCACCCTGGGACTCAGGCATCCCAAATCAGGCATGCTACTCAGGAAGCCCACAACCATCTTCACAACCCGGAAAGACGTAGCGCAATCCATGCAACGCTTTAGGTGTGACCATAGTCATGGGCATGGTCGCCTCAGGGGGACTTATCAAGGTAAGTCTCTATCTGCATGGACAAGGGATCATCCCCAGAAGATGGTGAAGGCACTTCTGAGGGGCATGGGTTGGCCTCGTCCGCCGGGATTAGGCCAAATTCCGGAAGATGAGGTGTTCTATGAACCGCCACGCTTTCAAGAGCATTTTGGGCACAATAGAGTTGCTAGAGCATGCTGTCGTGAACATACCGTGTTAGATCAGGCATACCCTGCCACATCACACGAGACAACCATCTTCAAGGTAACCGATCCAGATTTGCAGAAGCAGTTGAACGCATTGCAGTTTCCAGGTCGATACAAAAGGGCCGATCTCCCAATACCAGTGCAAGTGCAACTTCGGACATGGACTGGACTCGAGGTTGATACCATTACCACGGCAAGGCATGTTAAGTGTTATCAGAATTTGCCTACAGCAGTCGTCGCAACGCGTAGGACCACACTTGCACGCGTATTGGGAGAGTGGTTCTATGTGGATCATTGCAGCGAGCTGCAGGGTACCCGCAGGATTCGTCTTCCTGTCAACTGCCAGTTAATTGTCACTTTCTTCGGTGACAAGCCTGATTCCAGTACCCCTGTAGCATCAGAATCACAGCCTGCTGCCAAACCTGTCCCCGGGCAGTCCGCGCTGGTAGATTCTGAGAAGGTTCGCAGTTATCTGCAGCGTCTTCATGTTGGGCTCGGCCATTGCGGCAAGGGCGAGCTTTTGCAACATTTGCGCGATGCAGGCGCGGCCAGCTGGCTGTTGCAGCAAGCTGCACGCTACACTTGTTCCGTATGTGAGTCTCTCAAGCCACCAGATCCACACCCGGTTGTCGGTCATGCTAGGCCTCGTAGTTTTAACAGCGTGCTTAGTATTGACACCCTAGATTTAACGCTTCAGCGGGATTCAGTGCAGTATAGGGTCTTCATCTTGACCGCTGTGGATTCTGCTACTTCGTATGCGCGCGCCTTTTGCCTCGACTCCGGCGACTCAGCTTCAGCTATACAAGCACTCGAGCGGGGGTGGATTCAGGCGTATGGGCCTCCGGACTATTTGTTTTGCGATCCAGATACGATTTTTAGGAGTGACGAGTTCGCCAGGTTTTTGACCCGTAACTCGGTCATTCAACGCCTGAGTGCCGCCCAAAGTCCGTGGCAACATGGACAAATCGAGCGCTTGCATAGGACGATTCGTCAACAGGCAGAGAGATTATTCCAGTCAGACAGGAGTTGTAGTCCGTTTGAGGCCGTTGTGGAGGTGATCAAGGCGCGTAATGAACTAATGAGGGTCGACGGTGTTTCGCCTGCTGTTCTGGTCTTTGGTAAGCTCCCCAAGGCTCCTCCCACCATGGCGGAGTCAGATGAGGATTTAGAGCTACTTTCCGAGAGACTGCATAGGGAGGACCCCTTATATGAGTCAATCATGTTACGCCGCGTAGCAGCCAGAACAGCTTGGGTGCAGAGCGAAACCAGAGACAGGACAGCGAAGGTCCAGGCCACGCGGCCTCGGCCGTACAAGGGACCTTACTACAGGGGCCAGGCCGTGTTGGTTTACAGGCGCCGTAAAGGTGACGCGTCAAGTCCAGGCCAAAAGGGCGCTTGGCTTGGACCAGGTGAAATCGTAGCCGTTGAGAGCACTTCTGATAAGCTGGTCCCGCGCATTATATATGTTACTGTGCATGGTAAATTGTTTCTTTGCAGTCCAGAGCAGCTTCGTCCAATCAGCTTGAAAGCCGAATGGGTGAGGACACAGCTGCCTTTACTTGAGAATGCGGCGAAGCCAGATTTTCAGGAGTCCAAGACCTCGCGAGGCACAGACATTCGGAGCGAGAGGCCCACATCCGCAGAACTGGAGGCTTCATATGATGAGCCGGAGGGGCGAGTCGTCATAGAAAGCTTGCGTGAAGAGGCTGAGTATGAGCCACGTCCTCAGGCTCCTCCGACTCCAGGTCCGAGTACTCCAGTTCCAGGGACACCTGCTGGAACACCACGTCCAGGCGTAGAGACTTTGGAGGCTCCTGTAGTACCAGTGAGCCTTGCTCCACCAGAGGGCGGAGACCTCACTCCAGCTCCACCAGTAGTTCCTGTAGAGACAGCTGTCGAAAGCACAAAGCGGGGGGACAAGCGTCCTCACGACACCAGTGACACAGACGAGATGTCACATCTCAGGGCTCTACGTGGGCCAGATCAATCCCAGTCTTCTGGCAATGTGGGAACTGCCACTCCTGCTACGACAGTTCTCACAGGTGCCGAGCAGGTAGGTTCCAGGGCCCGGAGTAGGACTCCCAGTCGTCCAAGCCGTAACCCAGCACCTCGTGAAAGCAGCTTTTGGGGCTTTGCTGATTTTGAGGGTCAGTGTTCAGACCACGCTGTTGAGAGTTGGTTTGAAGAGTCCCCAGACCACGATTACGTAGGTATGTCGGTTGGTTTGGAGCTTGATGTGGGGTTAGATGAAATTCGGGATGACACGTCCATCGTCCATATTCTTCGAGAAATGTGTCTAAGTGCAGCTGCTGCTAAGAAACGAAGGGTAGAAGTGAGTGAGCGCTCCTTAGATGCATCAGAGAAGGCTATGTTCAGAGAAGCAAAGAGAGCAGAATGGTCGCAATGGGTCTCGAACGAGGTAGTTGAGCTTCTCAGCAGGCGGGGGATTGACCCAAGACGGATAATCAGTAGTAGGTGGGTTTTAACGTGGAAGCGCGTAGACGAGACACCATCTTCTCCTGTCAAGGCTAAGGCTAGGCTCGTAATACGAGGCTTCAAGGATCCTGACTTGGGTGAATTCACCACTGCTTCACCAACACTGTCTCGTCAAGGGAGACACGCAATACTTACGGTAGCAGCTCATCATCAGTATAGGCTCTTTACTCTTGACGCTAAGACAGCATTCCTTGCTGGTGATCGTAGCTCCCGTTCAAAACCGATTTATGCAGAACTTCCAAAGGACCTCATAAGAGACTGTCAATACGACGACGACACAATAGCTCGCATCAAGAAGGTGCCATATGGGCTTAGCGAGGCGCCTCTTGCCTGGTATAGGAGGCTGACGGCTGAGCTCATCGCATGCGGTTTTGAGCAGGTACCAGCAGATCGTTGTATTTTCGTCCTTAGGGATAGGCATGATCGCTCTCGGGTTTTAGGAATAGTTGGGGCCCATGTAGATGATCTTTTAGTCGCTGGTTGTTCTACTAGTGTAGACTCGCAGTTCGAAGAGGCCATGTCGAAACTGACCACAAAGTTGCCCTTCGGAGATAGGAAATATGCAGACTTGAACTCTGTCATCTACACAGGTCTCAACTTGAAGCAACACCCGCAAACTCGTGCGATTAAAGTTGACCAGGAGCATTACATTGACAGTCTGAAGGAAGTACCCCTCAAGTCTTTGAGAGACGGCGTGCTGGATCGAGATGGCCAAACACTTTTCTGGTCCCAGTTAGGTGCACTTCTATGGGTGGCCATAAATACGAGACCAGATATTGCGTATGATGTATCTCACTATGCATCGTATGGTACCCGGCCTGAGAAACAGCACATCGTCGCTCTGAACAAGATTGTTAGAACGCTTAAGTCCAAAGTGTACCACCTTACCTTCCAGAAAGTAGCGCAGTCCTGGGCAGACCTTGCTTTAGTTGTGTTTTCGGACGCGGGGCACACCAGTAGACCATCAGGACACTCACAGTCAGGAACGATGATGTTCTGGGCTCCCAAGTCCGTTCTGCAAGGTAGTGAATCTATCGCGGTGCTAGCCGAGTACAGTAGTTCTAAGATTGATCGTGCCGTGTGGTCCTCATATGCCAGTGAACTTCAAAGCGCTACTATAGCTGCCGACTCAGCCGTGTCTTTGTTGTTGTTGTACGAACAAATCCTGTACGGCCTCAAGGCTCACGAAGTCAAACGAAAACTTATGACACATGAACAGCCTCGTGTGTTAGTTACTGACAACAAGGGTTTGTACGACAGTATCCAAACAGAGAAACCTTCAACGCGACAGGGACAGAAGATGCAGAGCTTGGTTTATCAGATCTTGTATGATTTGGTAGTAGACTACGGTTTTACCACGTATTGGGTGAATGCTGAGCACATGTTGGCTGACGGGTTGACTAAGCTTAGCGGTTCAAGCCCAAGCAGCTCTGGTGGGCGAGTCGATCTGATTAGGAAGGTCATGGAAGAGTCCAAGATCCGCATTACTTACTGTACAGTGTCAGGACGCAAGGAGAAGCAAGAGCTCCACAAACTGAAACCTCTTGAACCTGCCGGCAAGGATCTTCAGTCATCCATAGATGTTTAGGTCCCGCTTTTCTGGCAAGTTTTGTTTTGGCGTTCTAAACTGTTGCTGACGCAAGCCCGAAAGCTCCGTGGCATTGGATGCAAAGCATTCCTCTGTTCCGCCGGGCCAAGTTACGAAGGAGTATGGGACCCGAGCACGGCTGCCAGCCCTGACCGCGTACCATCGCGGGGGTGTTAATGACATCAGCAGTTTAGCAG